TCCCGATCCCTTTTCTCGTCTGCCTTCCCCACGAGCTCCTCTCCTGCGTCTCACCAATTTACTCGCGATCGGACGGGCCCCCGTTACCCGATGAGCTAGGAAGGACAAAGCTTCTTCTTTTGCGATGGTACAAATAAGTTAATCCTCGAATCAGCACCTGCAACTACGCTACACTTCACTACTATCAGCGACACACACACACCACACAACTACTTTGCCAACAAACCCACCGATCTCGGACACACACACACACACACACACACACACACACACACACACACACACACACACAGACACCGAAAGGGATAGAAAGAGGAGGAATCATCTATAACACAGGGCATCGACGGTGTCTCCGCCATGCATATCATCAAGCCCGTTTGGCTGACACATGGGGGTAATGTTTTCCTTCCTTCCTCTCTCTTTCCTCCCTTTTGGGTCCCTGTCAGACGATAAATGGATGTGTTGTCGAGGATGTTGTATCCTATCTGTTTTTATCCTGGCATTGACGCAACCCTTCTTCTTGTTTCTTAACTTTCACAATCAAGTATTCAGCCATCCGCTAACGCTCTTCCCTTTTTATCTTGTCATACAGGCGAACGGAAGGATTTCGAGGTTTATAGTTGTGATGTATCCCCCGATGGGAGTCGCTTGGTGACAGCTGCTGGAGGTCAGTTCCGGATCATCTTACATATCCCCTTGACCTACTATTGTTTGCGGGTTCGAAAGTTATGGAATCATTCATTGACAAAGTTGTACGTACGGTACAGATGGATACGTTCGGATATGGTCGACAGAGGCGATCTGCAACACCGACGACCCGGAACAAGCCAGTAAGCCGAAACAGCTGGCGTCGATGAGCAATCACTCTGGAACGATACATACGGTGCGGTTCTCGCCAAATGGGAAATACCTTGCCTCGGGGGCGGATGATAAGATTGTGTGCATTTATACATTGGATGCGAATCCGCCGTCTCATGCGTCGACGTTCGGTAGGTGATGCGAGTGGCTTGTTGGTTGTGGATACGGTTTGGGGTGGTGTTGACTGATGTTTTTGCGTGTTTAGGGTCAAACGAGGCACCTCCTGTGGAGAACTGGCGCACGATTCGGAGATTGATCGGCCATGATAACGATGTTCAGGATTTGGGATGGTCGTACGATTCTTCGATATTGGTTTCGGTTGGATTGGATTCGAAGGTTGTCGTGTGGTCGGGGACTACGTTTGAGAAGCTCAAGACCCTTTCTATTCACCAGAGTCACGTCAAGGGCATCACATTTGATCCGGCGAATAAGTACTTTGCTACAGCCAGTGATGATCGCACTGTTCGAATCTTCCGCTTTACGTCTCCTGCGCCGAATTCCAGCGCTCATGACCAGATGAACAACTTCGTCCTTGAGCAGACTATCTCCGCGCCGTTTTCGAATTCCCCTTTGACGGCCTACTTCCGCCGGTGTTCCTGGTCGCCAGATGGTATGCACATCGCAGCGGCCAATGCGGTGAATGGCCCCGTCAGCTCGGTTGCGATCATCAACCGGGGCTCGTGGGACGGCGACATCAACCTTATTGGGCATGAAGCACCGGTCGAAGTCTGCGCTTTCTCTCCGCGGTTGTACTCGCCCCAACCGATCACCAAACCGGCAGTGGATAGCCAAGGCCAAGTGGTCCACAACTCCGTCACAGTTATCGCATGCGCGGGCGGTGATAAGTCACTCAGCATTTGGATCACCAGTAACCCGAGGCCTATCGTGGTGGCCCAAGAACTGGCTGCCAAGTCCATTTCTGACCTGGCATGGAGTCCGGATGGCAAATGCCTTTATGCAACTGCCCTTGACGGCACAATTCTTGCAGTGCGGTTCGAAGATGGGGATCTAGGCTATGCGATGGAGATGGAGGAGAATGAAAGATCGCTTACCAAGTTTGGCACGAACCGGAAGGGCGCCGGCATCACCGAGACCACGGACGGATTGCTTCTTGAGGAGAAGAGTAAAGCTGGAGAGATCAAGGGAGTCGAGGGCCGCATGGGTGCTTTGATGGGTGACGATCATGCGGCTGCAGACAACACGGCCAATGGAAAGCCTGGCTCAGGAGCATCGAATGGTGTAACGCCAGCTCGAGCAGCGTCTCCTACGCCGGATACACAAAAGTCTCAGCCGAACGGAACCGCAGGCACGCCCGCAGCACAGGAGCCGGAGAAGCCCGATCCATACCAGGCAAAGCTGGAAAGGCTGAAGCAGCGTCCGACGTATACGAAGGATGGAAAGAAGCGAATCGCCCCCCTTCTGGTATCGGGTGCTGGAGCGGCTGAATCCTCTCTTCCACAAGCCCGACTCATGGCGTCGGTCAGTAGCCAAGTCAAGGCCGACACACCGCAATCGATTGTGGACCTCTCCAAGCCTTTCGATGGGCTACCCAAGGGTGGTCTGGCAGCCCTGCTTTTCGGGAACAAGCGCAAACTCGCTCAGTTAGAAGGGGATGACGATGGGCATGTTGAGAAGCGCGTGGCGCTGGCCAGCCAAAATGGAGCCACCCCGATTCTGGCAAGCACGCCCGACGGTCTACTTCCTGCTCAACCGCAGCCCGCTCCCACCGGTCAGCAACAAACGCCAGAGTTCATTCGACCGGCTGTTATGAATCCTTGCATGGCAATCAGTCAGCTTCGCTTGGCGGTCCCGAAGGTCCGCAGTCAAATAGTACGGGCCATCGATCCGACTGGGAAACCGACAGAGCCCAATGCGCCGGGGGAAACCAACAAGTCGCGGGTTGACGTGGTTTTTGAAGCACGCAATCCATCTCCGGCCAGCTTGACGGGGCGTGCGATTGATCGGGAACCGGTACGGCTCACGCTTTTCCGTGGCGAGCAGCCCCTGTGGCAGGACTTCCTCCCGCGCACTGTTCTTCTGGTAACAGGTAATTTGAGCATGTGGGCTGCAGCTTGCGAAGACGGATCGGTGTACATCTGGACTCCAGCTGGGCGTCGGCTGGTCAGTGCCTTGGTACTTGAGGCACAGCCAGTGATCCTGGAGTGCAATGGTCCTTGGATTCTCTGCATCTCGGCTGTGGGCATGTGCTATGTCTGGAATGTGAAACATCTTTCCTCTCCACATCCGCCTATTTCATTGCAGCCAGTGCTTGACGCTGCTGTTCACACATTGGGCGCACACCCTAGCGCTGCGCCCGCCATCACAAACGCCCGAATCAACTCGGAAGGTCGCGTGGTGGTTGCTTTGTCTAATGGTGAGGGATACTCCTATTCACCGTCCATGTACACCTGGCAGCGGATCTCGGAGTCTTGGTGGGCAGTTGGCAGTCAGTACTGGAACACCACGGAAGCGCCTGTGGGCAATCTCCAGTCGACAGACTCGCAGGACAAAGACGCCAAGGCAGCAGTATCGGCAGGAATTGTTCCATTCTTGGAGCGCAACACCACGAATGAGACGCTGCTGCGTGGGCGTGCCTACTTCCTTCAGCGACTGATCAAGGTACTGCTGTCGCGGGAGGGATATGAGAGCTTCGAGTCCAGCGTCTCCATCGCTCACCTTGAGAATCGCCTTGCTGCCGCGTTGTCTCTAGGCGCCAAGGAAGAGTTCCGACTGTATCTGTCGATGTACGCTAAGCGGATCGGGGCCGAGGGGCTGAAGATGAAGGTCGAAGAGCTGCTGAAGGGATTGATCGGCGGGCTCTTCGAAGAGGAGGATGCAGACGCGGTCCGCCGGTTACAGGACAACGAGCAGGACGACCGGAATTGGCGCGAAAGCTCCGAGACCCTCTGTGGCTGGCCACGGGAGGTGTTGTTGAAGGAGGTGATCCTTGCTCTTGGTATGTTGCTTTGCTCCATTCTGTAATCTTCTTATAACTAACATGATCTAGGCAAACATCGTGATCTCCAACGTGTGACGGTGCCTTATGCGAAGCTGCTGGGGGTTGTGGACAACGAGTCTGAGGCTGGAGATGCCATGGAAACCTAAGTTGGGGGTGGGGGTATCATGTTGGATTGTTTGCTTGGCGTTATGCTGGCGTTGACTGGGTATTGATTATTTTATACTAGTCTGGAATGACTGGGTTCTGGGTTGGGAAATGGACGGCATTCATGTCATACTTGCGCTGCTGCTTTGCACACTGTGTATTGTTTCTGTACTATATCATATTATGTTGGTGATGCCTGTGTGGTTGATGGTGTTTCCTGTTTTTCTTCATTGATAGCATTGATGCTTGTTGACTGGAGATGGGTGCGATGCGAATACCATTTATTTCAGCACTCTTCATGCACTTGATCATGTTGGACTGGAGGGATATATAATAGGACCTTCTACAGTACTGTCGCTGATCACAGAAGTCGTCCTTGTAGTATGACCGAACTTACGGTCAAGCAGAAAGAGCAGTACGGTATGGCGCATTTAAATATACGGTATTCGCGATAGTTACTGAATTTCAGAAGTAACGAGGTTTGGTATGAGCTGAAGATATAGTACTTCTGAGTTGTATACTGCCTCAGATCTGAGGCATCAATACAAGGGCAGGGCTCTCACGTGGGCGGTGAAAGTGAAAAAAAAAGGCACACATGAAATTAGCGAAGAACCGGCGACAGTCAAGTCGTCATGGGATGCCAAAGTTACTGTGTAGAGCAACCAAATACAAGGAACTGGAATCACTAGAGTTACAGCCCGTCATCCTAACTGCCACTCACCTTGACCACTGTAGATATACTTTTTCCATACCTACCTTTTCTATCCATCTATCCATCAATCTTCTGCCCACGGCCAAAGTGGGCGTCGCCATCCTGTCTTCCCTTCCGGGCACCCGTTTTCTTTTCCTTTCTTCGTCTCTCCGCTTTCATCGCTCCGCAGCTGGTCCTGCTTCATCCTTTGCTGCTGCTGCTACTACCTTCCCCTCTTTGCGACTCTCGCTTGTTGCTGCTGCTGCTCCTTCTTCTCCGTCCCCGCCCTTCCTCTTTCTTTCCCGCCGCTCCTACTCGAGCAAGAAGAAGAAAGCATCCAAGTCCAAAATGCCCCCCAAGAAGGCTGTCGTTCAAGAAAAGGTCCTGCTGGGCCGTCCAGGAAACAACCTGAAGAGTGGTATCGTATGTGAGCATTGACCCCACCATACACTATGTGTTTTTTTTCCTTTCCTTTTTTTCTGCCCCTCCCAGCCTCCTCCCTTTTCGTCTTTTTTTTTTTTTCCTTTTTTTTTTTTTTTTTTCCAACGTCCCTCCCTCTCCCTCGCTTGTTTCCTTTCCCCCCTATAAATATCTTCCTTTTCCTTTTCCTTTTTCTTCTTTCTCTTCTCCTTCCTTCTCAACATGCAATCACCACACACAATGTAATTGCCAAAGAAGAGAAATAATAATGTTTATTCTCTCCTCTCTAGGTTGGTCTCGCCAACGTCGGCAAGTCCACGCTCTTCCAGGCTATTACCAAGTCGTCTCTTGGTAACCCTGCCAACTTCCCCTATGCTACCATTGACCCCGAAGAGGCGCGTGTCATTGTCCCCGATGACCGCTTCGACTGGCTGTGCGAGCACTACAAGCCCAAGTCTCAGGTTCCCGCCAACTTGACCGTCTATGATATCGCCGGTCTGACCCGTGGTGCCTCCACCGGTGCCGGTCTCGGTAACGCTTTCTTGTCGCACATCCGTGCCGTCGATGCCATCTTCCAGGTCGTTCGTTGCTTCGATGATGCCGAGATTATCCACGTCGAGGGTGACGTCGACCCCATCCGTGATCTGACCATCATCAGCGAGGAGCTGCGTATCAAGGATATCGAGTTCGTCGAGAAGGCTCTCGAGAGCCTTCAGAAGCAGACCAAGCGTGGTGGTCAGACTCTCGAGATGAAGAAGCTGCGTGAGGAGGAGGCTACCGTTGCCAAGGTGCTCGAGTGGCTCAAGGACGGCAAGGACGTCCGCAAGAACGAGTGGGGTCCCAAGGAGGTACGTTTATTATCATTCTCTTCTATCCTGCGCTGCACCTGCACACCCTTTATGATGAATAAGAGTTTTACTCGAAATAACCCAGCTCGTCGAATGTCTCAAATTTTTTTCCAACGTAGAGGCATCATGAGATTACGTCCCGTCTGATTTGATTATCATTTATTTTGTCATCTGCATCATTGTTTTGGCAACATGCTGATTTGTCTAGGTTGAAACCATCAACCCCCTGATGTTGCTCACTGCCAAGCCGGTTGTCTACCTGGTCAACCTGAGTGAGAAGGACTACATCCGCCAGAAGAACAAGTACCTGCCCAAGGTGTTCGAGTGGATCAAGACCAACTCTCCGGGTGACTCTCTGATCCCCATCTCCGTCTCGTTCGAGGAGCGTTTGACCCGCTTCGAGAGCGATGAGGCTGCTCTGGAGGAGTGCAAGAGCCTGAACACCAAGTCGGCCCTGCCCAAGGTGATTACCACCATGCGTCAGGTGCTGAACCTGGCCAGTTTCTTCACCACCGGTACCGACGAGGTGCGCCAGTGGACCATCCGTAAGGGCATCAAGGCCCCGGCTGCTGCTGGTGTTATCCACACCGACTTTGAGAAGACCTTTATCCAGGCCGTTGTGTACAACTACGCGACTCTGCGTGAGTACGGAGACGAAGCTGCCGTCAAGGCCGCTGGTAAGGTGATGACCAAGGGTAAGGATTACGTTGTGGAGGATGGTGATATTCTGTTGATCAAGGCGGGTGCTGCCCGTGGTTAAACGTGGTTAAGCAGACTATATAGCCTTCAATACCATTATCACTTCAACTTGATGTTTCATGGTAGTAGTCATAACCAGCAACCAGTAATCAATCAAACCGTAATCTATAGCCATACTCTGTAGTTCATACTCTACGTAGTACATATAGCAGACCTGCAGCTAGCTACCCCACCGAACACGTGACATCCCCCGCAACAGATCTGCGTGAAGATTGCGATAGCCTCCGAATTCACAACATACACCACACCACCAGCAAGATGTTTAAGAAGGAGTAAGTCAAACCAGCATACTTATCACTGAATCAGTTCAATCCATCTATCCCACCATACCCCTCTTCCCACTGCATCCCTCACCAACAAATCCTCCTCACCATCACCACCACCACAAGCAATCACTAACAATGATAGTATCCCCCCGAGCAACCGCTCAAAAGTCAAATCCTCCGTGCAGCGCGGCCTCCGCCAACGGTTCCTCGACACATACCCAGGATTCGAACCCTACATTGAAGAAGTCCTACCGAAGAAGGCCCAACTGGATGCCGTGAAGCTGTACGCTCATCCCCCATACCACCCCAGAATCATACACTAACTAACCCATCCCTCCGGGATGATAATGGAATAATAGTCCGGAAAGATCCACCCTCTACACATACGAAAACACCCCTCTGTTCTACCAACCGCTCGACGGCCCGCCCATCCCACACCTGAAACTCATCCACGCCTATCCGGACGCCCTGCCCACGATCCAGATCGACCGGGGAGCTATTCGCTTCGTGTTGTCGGGTGCGGCGCTCATGGCGCCTGGGTTGACGAGTGCTGGGGGCAGATTGCCCGATGTGGAGAATGGGGAGAAGGAGATAGCTGCTGGGGAGGTTGTTGCTGTGAAGGCCGAGGGGAAGGAGACGGTTTGTCTGGTGGGAGTGTTGAAGGTTGGTACCGAGGAGATTAAGAAGGTGGGGAAGGGGGTCGTCTTGGATGAGGGGCATTATCTTGGGGATGGGTTGTGGAGGTATCATCTTGATTAAGTTTTTCGTTTTTCCCCGAGGGGGGATTGGGGAGGGGGTTGGGATGAGATGAGATGAGATGAGATGGAATGGAATGATACCAGTGTGATTGGGGGAATTGGGATTGGGGTTGGGGTTGAGGTGTGGCTATGATATGACTTTTTTATTATTTATGTTTGTATGTGAATGAAAGTAAAAGTGTCTATGTCTTGTCTTCTGTTATTCTTGTATTGTGGTATTATGTACACTTTGTATAAGGTTTAGGCGTGACGGTCTGATTCAGGTCGCGGGGATAATGATGTCGGTGATAGTGATGACCATGATGGCGTGCGGATCGCCAGTCCTAGTCCCTTCACGCTCGTTCCTGATCCGTTCAGTCCCGTCCCTGGTAGATTGCCATCTCGTAGCCCCGCGCGCGTCACGGCCCGTTGCAGCATATCGCCTGATCCGTCGAGCGCGATCAGAAACCGAGCCAGTTCTGCACACAGCTCCCAGTCGTTCTTCCGCGACGCGAGGTACATCAGACGGACGACATAGTCCTCGATAGGCGAGTCGTGGTCGTCGTCTTCGTCCTCGAATGCCTGCAGCACGAGAAGATAGCCTACTGCTGTTTTGAGCGAGTTGAGCTTCAGTGCTTGCTCGAACAGATCCTTCGGCGGAGGAAGGTATGTGAACAGGGTGCGCCAGGACCGGAGTTCGGTTTTGCGCGTGCACTGGACGACAATGTCTAGGTATACGGTGGCGGGTAGGGATGCCTGGAGGAACGATATGACCGTCGGAAGGAGGGGGCTGTGTTTTTGTGATGGGTCGTCGGTCTTGCTGTCCTTGCTGGCGTTGTCGACTTCGTCGTCGAGGACGTGGTGCAGCAGGACTTCTAGGGCGTGCGGGAAGTAGGAGAGGTGGGAGAAATGTTGGCATAACGACAGCGCTGCTGGCATGTCGCCATGTGTCAGGCTATGTTGGAGGAAGTATGGAAGGAACAGGTGTGTCTATACAGTCAGCAAGCAGTCTTGAAGAGCAGGTAAAAACTTACTCGGATGGCAAATTTCAGCACGGAGAACGTGACATCGCGGCGCTGGGTCATCTCTGCCTCCACTCCCAGCACGATGCCCTTATTCAGTAGAACTGACAGAGGGTAAAAGTCTAGCGGTACCTCGAGCGGTTTCGCTACGTCTTCCCGGTGCAGCACATCTTGCACATCGCTCCATGAAAGGAGTTCTTTCCCGCAGAACGTCCACAGCGAGTCCCGTAGCGACAGGTTGCTGTGATACATGTTCAATGCCATTTCGGCTGCCGGACTAGCCGGGACTGACTCGTCCACAGATGGCGCAAAGTTGAAGGACAACTGGTCCCTCATCAGAATGTAGTACTCGACTTCGTGCGATACCACACGCATGTCGTACTTTAGCTCTCCGGTCTCCGACGTCGATGGCTGCAGCAGAACCAAGTTGCCGTCGACCAACAAGAGCACTGATGCGACCTTGACATCCTGTGATGGATCGCCATTACCTACTGCAGTTAGTAAACGTAACCACCCAGAACCAGCACACTTACGCATCTGATCCTCAGGCAAAATCCAGCTGATCGCTCGCACGCGGGTCGGTGCCCGCACGATGCCATGAAAAGCAATCTGACCAACCGGCACCAGGGTTATTCGGGAGTGTGCAGAGTTGATGATATAGTGGTAGAGGATATTATCATAGGTATAGACAAGAAGGGAGTCTTCGCCTGACGGCCCGATGAAGACGACAGGCGAAGGTAGGTATTCTATATGCAAGATTGTGTGGTTGTTCAGGGGACTCTCTCGGGAGTAGAGCCGGAGCTGTGACGATAATTAGTACTTGGTGCACACTCATCTCTGTTGACTCACCTCATAAGATCCATCGTTGTCGATGGCAGCAATCAGAATGTGTCCGTACCAGCACATGCCGCCTCTGACGGCAAACGAATTCTCAACCTTGGAGTCCTCAAACACTCGCCAGCGGCCGCTGTTCACGCTATAGTGTGCAAGTCCACGCCGGCCAGCAATGGCTACGTACCTCCCGTCCTGCGAGACGACGCTGGAGCGAATGGGCCACTGGGAATGCAGATAGGATGGAGGATATTGCGCATGGTGCCAGAGCGAATCCTTACCCGAGATAGTCATGAGATCAGGTAGGTCGTGGCCGCGGTAGAGAATAATCTCCGTCCCGGTTTGCAAGAGACCCCGAGCCAGGTTCGCAGAAGAGTAGCAGCCCGTCAAGGCGCTGCGAGCGGTTTCCAGTATCCACAATCGACGATCATTCTGACCCGTAAGAATAATTTCAGCCCCCCCGCCTATCCAGCAGCCGTGAGAAACCCCAGTCACCCAGTCCTCATCGTTCGACTTGGCAAGAGTCCGATCTGCCGTGAAGCTGGTCCCACCGGGCTTGCCAAACACACTCCATGTCGTCCATCCACGCTCATAGCCTGCAAAGAGGCAATAGCCGTCGGGCGAATAGGACATGAATGACAGATTGCCGGTTGTAGCAAGGGAAGCTGGCAGTTGAAGCCGATGCGAGAGAGGAACATTCCCCATGTAGTCTTTAGCCGTGTATACCAGAATTTCGCCGTTCGCGCAATTGACAGTAAGAAGCGAGAAGCGGGCATTGACCGCAACTTTCATGGCTTTCATACCCTCATCCTCGGGATTGTGGAAGCAATGTCCTTGGAAAAGCTTCTTGGGAGTCTCCGAATCCGTTGTGCCTTCTGGAGTGCGCTGGACGGCATACGCCTGACCTTCGTTGGTAATCCATACTAGCAGATTGATAGCTCGATCATACACCATATCCGTAATAGATGTGCGCTTGGACACACCCAGGATACGGCTCAGAAGCTCAGACTGGGTCTGTGAGCCGTCTGCATCAGGCATCCACCGAATGCACTGAATGGCAGCCGGCTTCACCGTGGCGACGACGAGTTCATTGTCCAACGCAAGGGCTTTCGCAATGCCCGACTCTATCTTGATCGCCATTCTAAAGCGAATGCTGACATCTCGAATCCCAGTGGCCTCTTCCTCGGCTGTTAAGCGCGCAAGCTGCTGACGGCGAGTCGAACTGGTTTGATCGAAGTGGTGTTGATACACACGAGTGGTAGGGCCCACAGCAATCGTATACGTCAAAAGGTATCCATTCAGCGTCTGAGCAACGAGAATGGTCGAATCCGGGTGCATCAGGAGAGCTACATTAGGTCCATAGTTCTCCAGGGAAGAGGCGGACCGAGCAACCGCAGCTACAACAGCGGTGGGCTAACAGCTAGTCAACATGCGCATCTTACAAGTTCTCAAGAATAGGAACCTACTCTAGTCTGCCATATAGCAATTGACGAATCAGTCATCGTCGCAAACATGAACCCGCTCCTGGAAACGCAAAGCCCCGTAATGGGCTCATCCGCCCAGGCCGAGTCCGTCGTCCCCGTCGGTTTGTCGGCTTCATTTTCTCTCAACGACAAGCCCTGCTCCGCAGAGCTCTCGTACTCTATTGAATCACCATCTTCGGAGATCGTAACCGGGATTGCAGGGCCATTGATCGCATAGACCCGGGGAACTCCATTGGGCCAGTACATGGCTCGACACAGGCGCGAGAGTCACGGAGTATATCAACAAGTTCACATCGAGTCATCTTCGTCAGACGCGGAAAACTTAAACCGTCGGAGTCGGGACAGATGCGATCCCGCGAGTACCGACCATATCCACCCAAGAGTCTCACTGACAGCGATGGATGAAGATGACGGTTGGGAACGTTGGATATGGATTGGATCCAGCTCGGGAGCACGGGGTATCACGTGCAGGGAAGCTCCGGTGACAAACAGGCCAAACATCCTGCAAGCCCCCGCATCCAATTTCCCCCCCGCGACGCCCTTTGCTTTGCTCGTGATAAGACATTTCCGTTCTCTGTGATACCCCCTTATACCTCACACAATGGTAAGATTGATTTTTTTGCGCAGCCGATCATTCTGTAGCTTTGATCAGAACCTAATTTCCCTCTCTCTAGGCTCCCACAGAGTCCAAGAAGCGCCTCGCGCTTGCCATCATTGACTTCCTCGGTGCCAGCTTGAAGGATGGCACCCTGACCGCCGACGATGCCGAATCCATCGAGATCGCCCAGTCCTGTATCGCCGATACCTTCAAGGTTGATCCCTCCAACGAGGCTGCTGTGAAGGATGCCGTGGGTGGCCAGTCTTTGGCCAGCATCTACAGTGTCTACGAGAAGCTTCGCAACAAGCCCACCGGCGACTCTGCCAAGTCTGCCGAAAGCCAGAAGCCCGCGGCTGGCGCTCCCACCCCCGAGTCCGATAAGTTGAAGTCCGAGGGTAACGGTGCCATGGCCCGCAAGGACTACACCACCGCTATCGACCTCTACACCCAGGCTCTGGCTATTGCTCCCTCGAACCCCATCTACCTCTCCAACCGGGCTGCTGCCTATTCCGCGGCTGGACAGCACGAGAAGGCGGCCGAGGATGCCGAGCTCGCCACTGCTGTTGACCCCAAGTACTCCAAGGCCTGGAGCCGTCTGGGACTGGCTCGTTTCGACTTGGCTGATTACCACGGTGCTAAGGAGGCCTATGAGAAGGGTATTGAGGCCGAGGGCAACGGTGGTAGTGAGGCCATGAAGCGGGGTCTGGAGACTACTAAGCGCAAGATCGAGGAGGCCAAGCGTAGCACCGAGCCTCCCGCTGATGCTGTTGATGATGCTGCTGGTGCTTCCCGTGGTGGTGGCGGTATGCCTGATCTCTCTTCCCTTGCTAGCATGCTCGGAGGTGGTGGTGGTGGCGGCGGCGGTATGCCCGACCTCAGCTCCATCATGAGCAACCCTATGTTCGCCAGCATGGCCCAGAACCTGATGAGCAACCCTGATATGCTTAACAACCTCATGAGCAACCCCCAGCTGAGACAGATGGCTGAGAACTACGGTCGTGGCGGTGGTATGCCCGACATGTCCTCTTTGATGAGTGACCCCAACATTGCCGATATGTAAGTGACATAACATATCTAGTCTACTGCATTGCAACTAACGTGTATCTTCCAGGGCTCGGAACATGATGGGCGGTGGTGCCGGACGTGGAAACCAGTAAACGGGATATCCTATATGTGTTAGTGTTTCGGAGCTTTATTTGTTCATTTCATCAAAAAACCATTGTCGCGCTCTCGACCTCGTATACGTGCAATGTATGGTCATCTTAATTATTGAAGCGAATAGACACACCGCTATACTTGTCTGACAAATCTGTCTTGTTATGAGGAACATATTTCTTTCGTTTCACAGCTGTATTTACAAAAACTCATGATGATCCACTTCATGTCGCCAGATTCAGGCCACATAACACCTAGACTCGCTTATCAAAACCACCAGAGAGGCCTAACGGCCACTCAACATAAAGGAACAAGACAACAAGCACTGAGCCAATGCAAAGATTTCATCAGAAGAGTGGAGGGTGAGGTTGCAAAGCGAGTAAACACGACTCCCGAAACGCCCGAATGGAAGCACCAGGCCCACTGCGCAGATGTATATATAGGATATACTCTTTAAGCGGACGCCAGTGAAGCTGGATCGGAGTCCAGCAGAGGGTGAGTGAGGATATCACAAAAGTGGGAGAAGGATGGTAAGAAAGGCGCCCAGCGAGATTAATCAAGTTACTATCACAGACGGTTCCATGAAGCGCCAGTTCCGCCTGGTCTCTATTTTAACAAAAATCAATATTGTACAGTCGGATGATATCAAAACAATCGAGAAGAGAATAGAGGCATGTCATAGACCAAAATCAAGCAGGTGTTGTGATCGTTGAGCGTCGAGGTAGGCGAGGGAGGTGTAAGAAGGATGTTTCGAATGGCTTAGATGTAGTCACGAGCGGCCTTCTGCAGCTCGATCAATCTCCAACCCCGGGTCTCCGGGTTGTTGACATCCTCGGGTATCCGTGTCAGACCGATGGCGTAGGTGACCAGCTGTACCTTATCCTCCATGCCGGCAGCCAGCTCGCCCGTCTTCACGTTCTTGTAAACGTGAACCTCCTGGGAGCGGCAAGTCACAACGAACACGGGGATGTCGCCGGGCTCCAGCATGCGGGCGTGGGAAACATCAACGCCACGGACATCGAGGATACGGCCATCCGACTTGAGGCCGGCAGTAGTGTACTGCTGGGCAAGAGCAGCGTAGACATGGAACTGAGCATCGGAGAGCCACAGCTTCAGGGTCTCAACGTCTCCCTTGACGTAGGCGTCAAGCACTTCGGGCAGGATGTATTCACGCATCTCTCTGAGGAAGGCTTCCATCTGGAAGTTGGGGTCCATCTCACGGAATTTCTTGATGACACGAGCGGTCTCGTTCTCGGCGAAGAAACCAGCAACACGGTCGGAAATGCTGCGCGCGGTGCTGATCAAGGGGTTTTCCGACTCCTCGTAGGACTCCTTAAGGGTGAAGAGCTTCTGCATCATAGGGTTGGAGTCCTTAAAGTCGCGCCACGATTCCTTCCAGGCAGAGTCCTTGTGAAGGGTAACGTGGGTTCCGGCACTAGAGCGGATAACTGTTAGAGATCTCCTTCACATAATCTACTGAACATGACTCACTTGGGATCCTCAACCATCGGCTCGACACGGCGACCAGCCTTGAGCTCAGCCTCTTCACGCAGCTTGCGCTGCTTCCGACGCTCCTCCTTCTCGATGTAACCACCGTAGCGAGAGCTGCTACCATCATCGATGGCATTCTTCACACCACCCACGGCACTCTTGTAAGCCTCGGTTTCTCTGACAGGTCTTGTGACCTTCTCAATACCAGAGCCAGTGACGTTGACACCCTTTCTGATACCCTTGACAACAGGAGTGTTCCAGGTCCATGCGGCACTAGTGCCAATGGCCTTTCCGGTGGTCTTGAGGGCAGTCGCAGTCTTGGAGGTGGCGGCTCCAGAGGCGGCTTCATAAGCGGCACGAGCCTTCTTGATGTTCTCGTTCTCGGAGAACTGGTGAGCAGACGAAGCAAGAGCCTTTGTCGACTCATTCCACTCCTTCGAAGCCTTGAACTCCGTCTGGAGAGTCTCTCTGAACACCTGCCAGGGAGACTTGTCACCATGGGGGGGCGGCGGAGGCGCATCCTTCTTTCCTTCCTTCTTCGACTCCCCTTCGCTCTTCTCCTCTTTCTCCTGGTTGGGCTCTTCCGACTGCTTCTCCTGCTTCTCCTGCTTTTCTTGTTGCTCCTGCTTATCCTTCTGCTGCTGCTGTTGCAAGCGAGGGGCGACGACGTGGAAGGATCTGGTCAGAGGGAGAGCAGCGAACGGGGAAACGAGTTGAGAAACGGGACGGTCCGCGCGCTGGCTGTTCAAGAGGGTGTTTCGTGATGTAGCGTAAGAGCAGGACTGAAGCAAAGAGCGCTGGGACACAGCAGCGGTCTTCAGAGTCGGCACCTGAGACCGTAGGGTGGCCGCCCGCGCGGTGACCGACATCCTGGTAGCCGAGATCATGCTATGCGACTATTAAAACAAGAACCGAATTGAAACCAAGGAAAAAGATAAAATCTGCGTGTTCGCCAACCCCGAAGATAAATTGGGAGGACTGAGTTGAGGTTGAGGGTTGAAGGGTGAGGTGGATGAGGAAGAGCGAGGAAGCGATGTCGGCAGCTGGTGTCAGAACGAGCGAGAAGGGAAAAAAGTTGAGATGCTGGACCGCCAAGCCCGTCGAAAATTCGGCCCTTTTCCGCCGCCCTGTCGTTCCGGCCCAGACTTGCGCCGCATCTTCGACTTGGAGCCACCTCCGGCTATTTGCAATCACGACAATTTCCATTGTCTGTCCGGAGTTGATTTTCATCTTGCTCCGCGTTCAATTCCGTTGGCTGGTATAACGGCCACGTTCGGTCCTTTCACCCGCCGCCTAACCGTATCTCCCCGACATCCTCCTCGATTGACGACACCGCAAAGATGAACTCGACATTCGTTACTGCCCTGTCGAGGGCTCTGCCTACCGTTGGCCGCTCGTGTCAGATCCGTGCCCCTGCTTTCCGTCTTACGAGACCCTTTTCATCGACTCCCGCGATCCTCGAAAATGCAAAGGAGAAGACCCGTCAAATCGAGAGAGAGATCTTGAACACCCCTGCGGAGAAGCAACCCGCCCAAGAGAATGCATCCTTCTCTGCGATCACCAAGATGATGCAGGGTGAGAAGGTTCGCTCAAACCAGGGTGTGAGTCGTGACTACTCCCGGATGGCCGAGAGCCTGGAAGCAGAGTTGATCAACCAGCCGTATGCCGATCGGTCTCCTCCTTACCACCTACATGTCTACTGCCACAAGCACAACACCATCATGACATTGACACGGCCGAATGGAGACCCAATGTTGGCTAAGAGCTGCGGTCACCTTGGATTCCGCAAGTCTAAGCGTTCCGGTTACGAAGCCGCCCACCAGCTGGCGTCGCACGTCTTTGGCCAGATACAAGAAAGGGGCTTTTTATTGGAAATCAAGCGCTTGGAAATTATCTTCCGTGATTTCGGACAAGGCCGTGAGGCTGTCACCAAGGTCTTGCTCGGTAACGAAGGAAGGAACATCCGCGGCTTGGTTTGTCGGGTGACGGACTCCACCAGACTCAAGTTTGGTGGTTCGAGAAGCCCCAGGGTTCGCCGTCTTGGTTAAGGGGGTGCATTTTGTTGACGAAGTTTGTTATGTCGTTCTGACGCGGGTAGAAGTGTTTTGCTAGAACGTCTGAGACAAGAACACGGGCATGCTTTCATGATACCTGATGATGGGATGGGATTGATCAGAGATGCCCCGGAATAGGTTCTTCTCAGTCCAACCATATGGCGACCCTACACTGTATCAACTGAACCGTTCTTGTTGGGTGGCAATAGTTCGGGCAATGGTTCAGGGTTCAGGGTCCAGCTCCTTTTCTCTATTTGTATACTAGCCAGCCTGTTCCCGGCATATATGGGATTTATTATTTTTAGGATGCGAGTTTCTACGGGTGCAATGTATATCAATTCAAAGTTTCTCCTAGCAAGAATGTTATGAATGAAGGCGTGTAGTTGGGCAGTTTGTCTTGGAAATCTCCATAAAAGCGAGGCAGGCTGAGATCTAGGCCGACCCAAAGGGGGATAGCGCGAGGAGCTCCCAGGACTGCCACTCCGAAAGCTGTTGGCTGAGATCCCCCCTCTTGTCCTCAACAACTCCCTCACTCTCACTCGTCGTTCAGCTTATGCTTCTAGCCTGTCCATCGTGCTGTTGACTTCTGTCTCTTCCGACTGGTTCTTTGCGCTTTCTTCCTAAGCTCTTTCGTTGAGACTGCACTGTATCCGATTACCTGCGGGCGCATGCGCCGGAGCTGCTCCTCTGCGACGATCGAGCAGCGGATCCCCCCTTCGAGACCGGTCTAGACGGCTTCATGAGTGCCTGTGATTCTGTGTTGGGCCGTCGTCCAAGACCGTTTGGATGCACCCTCTAAATCCCTTTCTCCGTGCCTTCTTCCGAAGCACAGTTCCGGGGCAGTGTATACCCACCGAGAATCATGTATGTCCCGCCAACTCTATCGGCTCCGGTCTGAGCCCAGCTTCTGACATGCCCACTTTAGGTCCTCCTAGTACCTGTCACGGAATCGCTGGTCGGCTCGCGCGACCGCGAGTCATCCCTCTACTACTCCGATCTCGTCGTATCCGAAGAATTCTTGGGAAGCCATACCTTGCGAATACCAGTGTCCACCGGGGCCGGCGGGGGAAAGGATGACTCAAATATACGAGATAGCCGGGGCAAAGCCAAACAAGTGACGACGGTCAATGGGCGCACGGTTATCATCAAGGAGAACTCGGTGTACAGTAACAAAGGTGGGAAAGCGTCCGGCTAGTCTCCTGAGTGGCACATGCGCTGACCCTTGTATTTAGGCTTCAAGTCCCTGAGCCAAGCCCAGCTGTTATCCGATGCGCTGTACTACAACAACAGCAACGATTCTCAACCATGGCTGATCTACTACATCTCACGGCCGTTGATCGGCTCATTCGATCCCGGAAAGATCGTCACTGCTGTAGTGCCGGGCATGCTACCAAAGCGCGATATCATAGGCAACGGCATGAAGTCTAGCGAGTCCGTTTCGTCACCACCGAAGAAGGAGATAAAGACATTTGGAGAACTCCTCGCGCACTTCCCGATGATTGCCCGACAGATGCAACCTGGATTGGAGAGATTGTTCAAGGAATTTGGAAAGGAGCTGGGGAAACCGTTGCCACCTCCGCCGTCTCGTTCGCCCCTCATATTCGACGAATACGAACGGAAGCAGAACAACAATGAGATAACCGCCGATGAATCTGCTTCTATCCGTAGTTCAGCTTCTCGCAGTAGGGAGGGCCTGCCCTTCAACTCCGAAGAGTACTTCGAGGATGACGAGGATCTGATGCGTCGAAGTCTGGAGACAGCTGTTACTGCCGCAATTGACTTGTTTCGTTTAGTGGATAAGCAGCAGTTGTCTTTCCTAGGTGCCACCACCGATCTAACGGGACCGTTGGTGGAAAGGCTTATCGAGCGCTACGTCGCTGAGCAGGTGCATGAATCTCTTCTCTTCCCTCGTCTTTGCAGTTTCCGCCAGCCAGAAGACGCAGAGCTAGACTCTAGGATTCGTTACATGGAAAACATCGACATCTCGCAAGTGGGCATAGTTGTCGATGGTGGACGAGAGGGTAAGCGGGAGTTGTTACAGCGCATCGGGAGAGCAGTGGAAGAGTTCCGCAAAATGCTAGACGCCAAGTGCCCCCATGACATGTTGAGCACTCTACTTCAGACAATCAAACTTCTGTCTTATCCAGGGAATTACGACAGAGCGGGGTCTCTTGCATCGGAAAAGCAATACGCGCCGGTAACAATCAACGCTGATATTCTGGTTTCATTGCTGCTGGTTGTGGTCATCAGATCCCAAGTGAAGAACCTGCAAGCGAGGCTGATGTACATGCAACATTTCATATACATCGACGATGTTGACAGTGGTGAAATGGGCTATGCGCTGAGCACTCTCGAAGCTGTCCTTACCTACCTGGTGACTGATTCCGCGGGTCTCCGGCGAGCCAGTATTCGAAACAGGCGCTTATGGAATGCAACTAAAGGCGGACGTGTCGTGGACATGAAGGCCATATTAGAGCCAAATGGCGATCAGGAGTCGCTAGACGAAGTCCCATGTGAGCCCGAAGAAAGAACTGTTGCGTTTCGGACGCATGACGAGGATAATCTTTGTCAAAGTCCACATGAGCCCTTGCTTTTGCAAGATGCACCGTTCGAAATGAGTGTTCCTAGTGGGACAGCGCATGATGAGGAACCCTCCGAGCCACCTCCCCTTTCTCATGTGTTTCCTTTCCAGACGTGGACGAACACGGCCCCTCCGAAAGAGATCCGACGCCCTGTGAAGAAGGTTTCCATGGACGTCCGCAGCCTGTCTGAATCATCTGGGATATCTTTGGCTTCCCGAACAACGGGAATGGGCTCAATTTCAAGCGCGATTGAGGGGGACAGTTCAATTGAGACATTGACGAAAACGCAAGATCCTGCAGGCGACTCGATTCCGATGATGGCCGTAGAAAGCCGCCAGCCAGACGCATTGAAATACCTGCTGAGCCTTCAAGATTACTATCCGCTGGCGGATATTCTCGAGGACACAAATACAAATGGAACCACATTACTTAGTGCTGCTGTTCAGCTTGCTCATGTCGAATTGGTGGACATTCTATTGAACTTCCTATTCAGTTCAACGGATAAGCACACCATTGCATCGTACCTACAAAAGTCAGACATGCATGGGCGTACGGTTGCACACTACCTCTTCAGCACGCCATCGGTAATGCATAGGTTGGAGGGACTGCTGCCGTGGTGTCAACGCGACAAGCATGGACAGACGCCACTGTTCGCTCTATGCAGGTCTTACGATCACCCGGACTACAACTCAATGGTGAAAGAAGCACTCACGGCCGCCCAACTTGCCCAAGGTGATGGCAAGCCCTTGCGCCTCGATAATCATGTTGACTCTAGAGGCAATACATTGTTGCATATCGTTAGCGATCCGGAAATTACCATCCGCCTCTTGCAAGAATGTGACTGTGATCCAAATGCAACGAATGATAAAAGGTTCACTCCTCTCATGATGGCCAGCAAGTACGGCCGCATCGATCAGGTCAGGATCCTTTTCATGGACCCCAGAGTTGATGTTCACCTGAAAGAAAGCCGTGGTTTGACTGCTGTCGAACTTGCTAAGGATGATGAAGTGCGCAATCGCATTGACGATCTCATCCTTCTCTCCAACCCTTCATCAGCCTACGACGAGCAGTCTGGTCGTGTCACGACGGTGGTGCGCTCATACTTTGTTGAGGATGCGACAGTCCGCTTTGTTCTCAAGTCCGGTGCCCCGAATCCAACCATTAACTCAGCAGAGTCCCGTCCTGCGTCAGGGACAACATTCACAGTTACCACATGCCGTCGCACGTTTTCTGACTTCGAGAACCTTGCAAAGTGCCTGTCCATCGAGCATCCGGCTTCCTATATGCCGTCTCTGTCCGACTTCCGTAGCCCTTTCCAGATTCATTCCAAACCGTCCCGCTCTGTGCTCCATGACATGCAAGAGAAGCTCGACAGGTTCCTCAAGGTCTTGCTCACGCATCCAACTTTCGCCACTCACGAGATGCTGTGGGAGTTCTTTCTGGTTCCCGAACTGCAACCCGAGATGATGGCAGACCGCTCGCAGCGCAAAGCCCAGGTTCTCACGGAGTCCATCAACGACGACTACGAACCCGTCACACCCGAAGGCATGCGCGAGACAGAGCAATTCGTCTCTCACGCCCAGGACATGGTTCGCGCCGTCCACGTCAACACTCGCAGTCTGCTTCGTCGCGGCCACGCTCTCCAAAACTCTGCATCCGACATTGCAGACGCCGTGGCCCTCTGTGCCTCCGTTGTCTCCACCCTCAAGGAACCGACCAACGCGCTACCAGCCTCCTATGTCGACGCGTTCACCCGCTATGCAACCCATCTCTCCACTTCATCTTCCGACTCTTCTCCTCTCCTTCAATTCCTCACGGCCCTGACCTCAATCGACAACACCACAACCGCCATCCTAGCATCCCTCTCTCGTCCCATTTCCCTCATAAACAACCTATCCTCCACAAACAGAAACCTCTCCCGCAACCGCTCATCCCTCGTATCCTCTTCCCTTCCCCGGAAATTCAACATCAATTTCCCGGGCCTCGAAGAATCCCGCCAAAAGTCCGTCCGCGACCTCGAAACCAAGATCCAGGACTCCGAACTCCAGATCGCCCGTCTCTCCCGCGAAATCACCTGGAACAAGGACGTGGTTGTCGGCGAACTAGCAGGCTGGACCACCTGGCGCGAGAAAGTCGGACGAGATGCCATCCGCTCCTTCGTCCGAGCAACCTTAGTCCGAGAACGCGAACGAGGGAAGCGCCTAGAGCGCTGTTTGCGTGGAGTGCGCGAGATGCGATAGATCTGTTTACTTTCATTCATTTATCCATTCACCCTGTTGTATCATCCTATTATTATTATCTACAAATCATGCATGTACGGCGGTGCGGTGTATTTGCTTTTTTTCTTCCCCCTTCATCTGAGTGCGTTTCGCTTTTCACTTTCTTCACCTGGTAATCTTTCATTCTTCTGGTCCTGTTATAAATGGCAAGCTCTGTAGACTTATTATTGATTGATTGATTGACTGATTGATTGACCGGTGTTGTGTGCTGTGTTGCCATTTATGATCTTGGTCTGCTTTGACGTTGTGTTGTGTTGGTTGGTCTGGTCGCTTGTCACTCGGCTTGTGATGCGTCTAGAGGACTGCTTAGCTGCGTTGTTAACCTAACCTATATTCATATATTACTAATATAAATCCGACGATGTGATGATATGAGTGGTCTTATTTTGTAGGAGAGTGGTGGTTTGCTCATGGATTAGTGTCGGGTTGATTTTACCTGTTTGTGGGATTTGAACTAGGATTGTATAGATAGCTTAGGTGTAAAGATCGCTCAGCAGAGGGTAGCTGGTGTGTTGCTTGCTGTGTTAGAGAAGCTGTCTCATTCCTTTGCTGAGCCTTGGCTTTTCCTATAATTAGATTTCGCGGACTTCGGATTAGAACGATGGGAAATGGTCCTATTTCGACAACTTTTGTCTATTGAGGTGCATGGCCTTCTTTTAGTTCAGTCCTGGGAAGGACATTCGTAAGCTAAAAGGACTTGTACATGTGTTCACGGTGAGAAAAAATTAGCTATAGCGACAGAAAGGAAAAGGAAAAAAAGAAGACGAAAAATCCCTGACTTCCAATTCCAGCTTGGAAAAACAACTTCAAGTCGGATGTGACTAGACCAAACACGTACCCAACAAGCACACCATCCAATAGTCCTGTAAAATCAAAAGGAGAAAAGAGGCGACATTGTTCTTTGGATTGCTGGAAGTTTAAACAAGCTGTTACCACCAGCGGAGTCACGCTTGCTGTTCGACGGGACATTACCGTCCTCATGTTCGACGTTCAAAAAAGTCCGCTCCAGGCCGTAGGCTGGGTCTGTGTGGTGTATCATCGGCTTCACCGAGAATGCCCTCAAGGGTGATGGTACGACAACGATTGATCTGGCCTTCGAGCCATGACGTTCGTGGCGGGAACGTTTCAACGCGCTGGCTGGACGTCCCGGTATTGCGTTCAACTCAGTTGTAGTGCCTGCATCTCCCAGAGTAGAGCTGGGTGAGTCGAGCGTAATGGTAGAGACGCTTCTGCTAGTGTGATAAACTCTCGTCACGGAGGGACCGTCTTGTTCAATGAGATAGGTCGGAGATGGCGAGCGACTCCTACTGAACATCAAAGTCTCTCGGCTTATCTGCTTGCTGCTCGTCGCAGTCATTTTGTGGCCTTCTTCGATCAAGGAGAGAGCAGAGTATCCGGAGTTTGCATAATCTTTCTTTTCACGTTTGTGTCGCTCCCAGCTTCTTTTAGCCTTTTTGATGGATAAGATAGCCAAGAAAGTCAGAGCCATTACTGTAACGGCCGTAAATATGCATGCGGCAGCAATGGAGCTTTTCTGGTAACTCCAATGCGGTATCCAATTCCGATTCATAAACTCTGGTCTCCGAAGGTCTGCACGTAGGTTCGCCTGAGATACCCCAATCTGTGCTGTACCGTCCCTAATTGTAGCCAGTTCCTGCGAAGAGGTGTTTGAGCGAGTTGCAAGCTGGGAGTCTCTGGCAAAATCAAGACCATCAAGAACAGTGTCTAGCCGGTGTTTGACGACCTCACTTTTCTTGTTCCACAAGTGTATGCCCCTATAGCCTCTGTTTAGCGAGTTATAAGTGCTTTCCAGTATCCCGGCAGATGTTCGTGACTGCTGCCCCACAGCCCTTCTGGATGTGGTAGTGGCCCTTGAAGGCACAATAGAAGCTAACAGCATCAGGAACGCGGGGCTGTGAAGCAAACAGCTGTGTAGCTTGCCGGTTTTCTTTCGGTGCAGGCAAGAAAGTCTAAGAATGGGATGCGTGGTGTGTATAAAGATCGAAGGTGCAATACAACTGTTCGATGACGGTAGCTTGTATATTGATAATCGCTGGCATTAGAGCAAATGCGTCGAGTCAGTAGCATGTCAGGAACGTTTTAAAGTGTCAAAGAATAAGTAATCTGTCCGTTGCAGCACGGCTTGAATGATATCGGCGAATAACAGAGGCAACTGCTCTGAAAATCACGGCTGGGTTGTGGTTTCCTAGATTCAAGTTTGAATGTGGAACTAAGGTTAGTTAGCATAGTAGCGCCTGAAAAGAGTATTTCTCCATTAGTGGTACGAGCACTAGTGAGCTTCTTATTCAGTTTCCAAAATTCATAGTATGTACTATATCATTCAAACATCAGGTGAAAGTCGGGTGAACAATGAGTATAGATCGATATATATATAGTTGGCGATATACTGTGCTTTTGAGGCAGCGAGTATGTACATCATACTACAAGAGAGCTGCCAGGAACCTATACAAGTTCCTGACACACAGAGATACTAAATTTCAATAGTAAACCTGATGACATGACCCTCGATGGAGGAATCAACTCAAAAGTGAAGCCATCAACAAATTCCAGGAAAATTGAAGAAGTATAGATATCGCATGTGACATGCCGCCCTCCCAATCGCGCTAGTCCCGAAACAGATCGACGTCATCAGCACCGCCACACCCCAGCCCCATCCAGCGGCATGATGTCATCGCCAGGGTCCCAATGTAACTAAAAGTATATTTAAGTAATGAAGGGTGCCTGTCAGGCTTATCTTCCATTTTCAAACCCTACTTACTTTTTCTATCTTACAAAAGAATCAAGAAACTCTCTCGACTTCGCAGATACTGAGCAAACTCTAACCATGCCTCTCGTCGTTCCCGGAATCAACAACACCTCTGGTGGTGCCAGCCAAGAGGAGTGGCTCAACAAGCTGGCGGGGAAGAAACTCACTGAGTCGTCGAGTGATGTGACTGTATGACTCTCTTCCTTCTCCTTGAGCTAAATGTTGCTGTATCTTGTGTGTGGGGGACATTTTGACTGATGCTAACTTATCGTGTAATATAGTCATTTGCGAAGAAGGACCTCCCCCAGCAACACCGTGTGCTCAAACCTGGTGATGCTATGACAATGGATATGAGGCCAGAGCGGTTAGTTTGCCCCTGTTGTTATATGTATACTGTCCAAATGCTGATGGATGTGTGTCTTAGGATGAACATCCACTTGGGTGACGATGGCACTGTTCATAATGTGACCTTTGGTTAGAGGGTGATACTTGATGTCTGGATTACGACTTATAAAGATGTGATGTGACTTGTTACGATATTATTATTATGGGACGATCTTTTATGTACTATTCTGAGAGGGATGTATTGAAATAATGTTGTTCTTTATAGTGTGATATTCTGTCATCTGCTTAGTGATGTAGTCGTCCATTCCACCGAAGCATCACCATACTGTAATATGAACCGAAGAACGTTATATGATTCTCTCAGACTGCACGGTGTAACCTATCACTTTAGTAAACTTCAATAGCCATTTACTCCAGCTTCCATCGCAGCAACGTCAATGAATGTTTCGGGAACACAAATTGTCCCTTCGCCTCCCCTGTACTCTCGGTCACAACAACCTCCTCTTTGCCATTCATATTACAAGCCTGGACACTCTCTCCAGTAACAGTAAAGATTGAGATCGGCCCAGACGGCCCATCAATGTTGCTCGTAATATCCTTTTCCTCGTGGATATTGACCACCGCAACATTCACATACCCATCCTCACCGAGGGTAGCGCTAACATCCAACCAAGGCGTATCTTTGACTCCGCGCACCCATTTGGGAGAAGTCTCCCCTTCATATGAAGCACAAGATAGATGCACACTGATAGTCCATCCCCGCATATACTTCGAGAATAGGTACAAAGGCCAATAAGTTGTCTGCTTAGTGATGCCATCCTTGCTTGTCATGAGTGGGGAGATGACATTGACGCTCTGCGCGATGCATGCCATGCCCAGGTCTTTGCTTTTCCTGACAAACACATTCAAGTAAACGGCAACGGCTAATGCATCGGAGAGTGTGTAGGACTCTTCTGCACCCTTGCTGCCCTCTGCGCGAATGGGATCCCAGACGTTCCATTCGTCGAAGCAGATGGTGGGTCGGTGTTGATCGGGTGGAACTCCGTTCTCGATTCGGGCGAGATCGATCAGAGATGAGGTGATTTCGATGGCTCGCTCTGCAGCTAGTGGAGCGGTAACGTTGGGGAGATGGGAGGGAGAGCTTGTGTAGAGATGGATGCTGTGCATGTCGATGAGAGGTACGGTGCTGGTAGAAAGAGGGGAGTGTGCTGGAAGCAGGCATTGCTTAAGGGTGTAGTAGTCCCATGAAGCTGTGCCGTCTTGTCCACAGAGGACCAAGATCAAGCTGGGATCAAGGAGCTTCAAGGCTATTGACCGTATCAGTAGGTGTTTATGAGAAGAGCAACGGATGGCTTACCCTTGGCCCATTGATAGGCTTTATGAGCATATGCTTCCTTGGTCATCTGTTCGACCTGCCAGGGACCCCAAGTCTCGTTGCCCAGGGCCCAGTATTTGACCTGGAGCATAAATGAGTACATAGGAAGCCTGAGGAATAGGGCATTCGGGATCATACATTGTATGGCTCCTCGCGACCATTCTTCCGCCGAAGATTAGCATAGTATGTATCTTTAGTACCGTTACAGTACTCGACCCACGCCAGCGCTATATCAAAGCCCATTAGTGATGTGCCTTGTATGAAGTTAGGATAAGTTACCTTCGTCAAGAGTACCTGGCCATACGTCAGCGCTTGTGCTTTAAGTAGGACGGATCACATTACCAGTTCCAAAGTTCAGGCAGAAGTAGGGCTCAGTGCCCAGGACTTCGCACCATTTCAGGAATTCATCAGTGCCGAACTGGTTGGTTTCTGTTCCCAACCATGCCAGCTCAGGTCTATAGAAGCAGTGAGGTTAGCCTTACAATATCTGTAGGAACGGAAAGAAATATTTACTATCCCAGAAGGGATTTAAAATCAACGAAGGTAAAGCGCATGTACGAGACATGTGGAAGGCTAAATGATCATGTGGACATACCTAGCAGGCCGTTTCTCCTTCGGCCCAACCCCATCGATCCAATGATATGTCGCCATGAAGTTCCCACCGGGGTAACGGACAACAGGGATGTTGAGCTCCTTCAGAGCTTCGAGGACATCCTTTCTGAAACCATTCTCGTCTGACAGTGGATTGCCCGGATCATAGATGCCCCCATAAATGCATCTGCCCATGTGCCTGATAATACGTGAGCTCACTGCTTGAATGCCCACAAGGCAGATGAGCTTTGACCAGTGGACCTACTCTGTAAACCCCGCGTAAATATTCGGATTGATCTTGGAAAGACGCCTCTCTGGGTGGATGGAAATACTAGGCGCATCCTGGTCACTAAGCTTGGTGAAGGTGGTCATGGCGCGAATGATTTGACAAGGTTCCAAGTAGGGTAAGTAATAACCTAATCTGAATTGGTATAGAGAAAATCAAGACGGTAAACTCTACCAGAGAGGATTTGTCGAAAGCCAGTACGATGGCAGACTAGCAACAGATATTAATGTGCGGGAGCTATTACCTGGAGTCCCGCATAAATCGGGGAAATCCCCTGCGGGGTGATTCCAGACCCGCGACTGACTCTCGTGTGCACCACGCGATGATGGTCTGTTAGGGCGTCGGGAGTGGATGAGATGCATGGAGCTCTTACGCCGTTGGCTTGGGGATCAAGCCGAGGCAACGCCACGGCAATATTCCATCAATCAGCACGCTTGTCAGACGGGAATCTTTTCTTGGTCCAGAAACCGTGCATACTGATACCATTCCCGTATCGACAAAGCGTTACTTGGCTTGACCAGGGTAGTCGTTAGCGATAGGTCACGCATGGCATGTTATTCAGTGGCTTCGGTTGCGTTGGATCCTGAGATCCCTAAAACATGATCACAAATGGCGTCCTCGCCGACAGCCTCGTTTAATTATCAATTAACCGAGATGCTCATATTCTTTACAGTGAGGTATGAGGTTAATACGGCCCATAGAATGGCTATACACGTGGAATGCGCGGCTCAATCCCCAGATGTTCTTAAATGGCCGAGGGTCCTGTACCCCAGATTTGGTCTCCGCATTTCTGTCATTTAGCTCAGCTTAGTGATCTGAGACACTAAAGCTTTAGGAGCGCTTTCTCCCATCATGCGTCTCTCCCCAGCATGGTATCAAGTCAGTCAACCTTCTAATCACCTGCTAAGAAGTATGGGCTAACTGAGTTTCCAGTTTCTAGTAGGCGTTTTCGCCTCGCTGGGTTCATTCTTGTATGGATGTGTGTATACTCTTCCTCCTTGCTGTGGATCCACGGGGCCTAACACTAGTCTCCGCAGACGATCTAGGTGTGATCGCTGAAGTCATCGCCTGCGGGTCGTTCATATCCAGATTCAATTTGAATGACACTCAATCGTAAGTCGCTAGTTCCTGGCATGTTGAAGCGTTCTGACATCCCGCAGTGGACTCGTGGTGTCCATGTTCACTGCAGGTGCTTTCTTTGGTGCAGCGTTTGCAGGCCCTAGTGGTGACAAGCTAGGCCGACGATGGACCATTACTGTCGGTTGTGTTCTCTTCTGCCTCGGAGGTGGTCTTCAGACTGGAGCACGAACTGTTGCCTTCCTCTATAGCGGAAGGTTCTTTGCCGGCCTGGGGTATGCTACTCTATACTCAGCGACCGGTCAATATCATGGGCTAATCTGTTTGCAGGGTCGGTTTCCTTACTATGATTATCCCTCTGTACCAGGCTGAGATCTGCCATCCGGACATTCGTGGTCGTGTTACTGCTCTGCAGCAATTCATGCTAGGAGTTGGGTCTTTATGTGCTGCCTGGATCTCATATGGCACATATATCGGATTTTCCGAAACCAATGACACACAATGGCAGCTACCCCTTGGACTGCAGATTGCACCAGCTGTCTTCCTGGGACTTTTGATCATGCTTTTCCCTGAGGTACGCAATGTCTCATCATTATCCTGCATTCATGCTGATGAATAGTAGTCTCCCCGGTGGCTCATTGACCACGGTCAGCACGAGAAAGGCCTGAAGACATTGGCAATGCTTCATGCCCACGGCAACGAAGAGGACCCTTGGGTTCGTGCGGAATTCAACCAGATCCAAGAAAGCATTGTCTATGAGCATGAGCACGAAGCCAAGTCCTACAAGGAACTTTTTACATCACGATCATCCTTTCGTCGCCTGTTTCTTTGTTGCGCATTGCAAGCATCTGTACAGATGACTGGTGTGTCTGCAATTCAGTAAGTACTCTCTTGAAGCTCAAATAATTATAATTCCACAGGCTCACCATTCATCTGATAGGTACTACTCCGTAACCATCTATGGTCAGATTGGTATTAGCGGCGACAAAACGCTACAATACCAGGCTATCAACTCCATCATTGCCCTTGTAGCTCAGTTCCTCTGCATTCTCTTCATCGATCGAGTCGGTCGCCGCTGGACTCTGATCTGGGGTAACCTAGGGAACATGGTAACATTCATCGTTGCCTGCATCTTGTTAGCGCAGTTCCCCCCAGAAAGTCACAACACCGGAGCCCACTGGGGCTTCATTATCATGACTTGGCTATACAACTTCTCGTTCTCGTGCACCTGTGGCCCTCTCTCCTGGATCATCCCGGCAGAGGTATTCGACACCCGAACGCGGTCGAAGGGCGTTTCGTTGGCTACTATGACCTCGTATGCATTCAACACGATGATTGGACAGGTGACGCCCATTGCCATGGAGAGTGTGCGCTATCGATACTACTTCCTCTTCATCATCTGCAACTTCACGAATGCGGTGTTCTTCTGGCTCTTGCTTCCCGAGACGAAGAAATTGCCGCTGGAAGAGATGAACTATCTGTTCTCGAATTCTCCGTGGATTGTGGCGGGAAAGCGTAAGGAGGATTATGTTCCTCATGATTTACAGCGGAGGCTTGAGGAGGAGGCGGAGAAAAGAGAGGTCTTCGCCACTCACAATGAGGTGAGTTGAGCACTGGGAAAGAATTTAAGGTCAGCCCGTTATGTGTTCTATGTTTTGATCAGAGGGTTGAGTAAGGAGAGTATGTTCTTACTGGCTCCAAATTATGATGATTGCACAGATAGCAATTATGTAACTCGCACTGACTCGAGGTTAATGGTCTGCTAAGTGAGCATGGTGAAGTGTAACTCTTGAAGCGAACAGACTTGCGTGGCCATCCTAACCACTTTTTGGAAAATGTGTCATCAAGTACTGTAAGTCTCGGTATTTTAAACTCGATACACATTAATCTGAAGCCTACAAGTATTGTAATAACTGCCATTTCTGAAAGCTAGTATGTAATATTATAAGATATGCGATATAGATAAGACCTAAACGCTTTTAGTGATCCAAAGGCCCCGTTGCTGATGTTTCAGTGCAAGCAAGCCAGTATCCCTCGAGCCCAGAGGGACGAAGCATCATGTACATTTCAATAATACTGCATCAGTAGTCCGCAGGCGCAGAAACCCAAGCGACGGAGAGCACGAACGTAAAGAGCAAGGACATCAAGTGCCTATTGTACAACGCATCAAGATCATTCTGAATCTGAGCCGTAGTCGGCTAATCCAAGGGATAACGAAGGTGTCTTTGCTGCGTTCGATGCAGTCTGCTTTGGGCTTGATTTTGGATCCTGTACAGCCTTGCTTGCGCCAGGCAATGTAGCTGCTTGCTTTGACTCTTCTGGCTTCTTTTGCGTTGGCTCCGGCTTGCTTTCATGGACACTTTTATCAACCTTTCCGGATTCTTTGTCCGCACTTTGTTCCTTGGAAGAGTTTCCAGTAGTGTCACCCCCCAGAGACTTGCGCTTTTTACCGGGTATAAGAAGGTCTTTGCTCTTCTCTCGACGTCTCTTGCGGGCAGGAATCTTCCAGTCCTCTCCTTCAGGGGCCGGTGCGACATCCGCAGATGTGTCCTCCAGCAGAGTTTTCTCTGCCTCTTCCCGCTGTCGACGGAACAACTCCAGCTGTTCGGCAGTCTCCTTCTTGACCGCAGCTTCCTTGGCCCGGGTGGACTCCATGATAGAATCGAGAAATTCGACTTCGTCTTCGTCCAGCGAACGGAATTGATTCTTCAACTTGATCTTCTCTTCGAAAGCTTCCTGCTTGGCCACTTCGCGCGACAAAACACATCACCCTAACATGTCAATCCAAGGCGTCTCCTAGCACACGCGCCTTATGGCTTCTCCGCACAATGTGGAGACTCACTTTTGTTCTGCTGAAGTACTTCGTATAAGCTCTTGCCATCTTCTTGCCTCCCTAGCTCTGCTTTGCGCTTTCGCTCCTCCTCGAGCTCATTCTGTACACGACGCCATTCATCGTCGCGTTCGATTGGCTCCTGATCCGTTCCGGCGGATACGAATCCAGACGACATGGTGATCTCGTTGGCGGAGTTGTACACAAAGCTAGCAGGCGGTCGTCGAATGGGATGTCCGGAATTGCGATGGAGCGGACAAAGCTCAATGGCCGTGGATCTGCAAGAGTCTCTGGCAATGGATCCAATGCGAGAATATTGTAAACGGCGGCGAGCAACGTCACGGGCGGCTTTGCTTTGCTAACTTCCGGCGGCTTCTTCCTTCACTTGTGACCGTTGCCAACCGAGAGCCACAGAAGTGGACCGGCAGAAACAGGCGGTGAAGCAGATGTGGTCCATGGTGATTGGGCCTGAGGCAGACCCACGCCGAAGCGGCGGAGTTCTGCTGTTTTGGTCGATTTAGGCAAAATGCCTCATTAGTCATCTGAGGGGCTGTGGTTCCTTCTGAACCACGCTGGCTAAAAGACCGTCCATATTATCCTCTGCATTGAACCTAGAAAGTCCTACTGTACAGAGTTACTGGGACGACTTTCATCCTGAGTGACCCAGATATTGCCTTCCGGCGTCTTTAGTACGTTCTCATAGAAAGTTATGGGCACAATGCGCCCGGGTAATCCGATGTTTCGATTTCCTGAACAGTAGCAGTTCCACGATATGATACAATCGGCAATCCGATGCTCTTGTATGCTTTTCTCCAATAATTTTAACCTGTTATCAACTCATTTACGCCTTTACCTACTACTCTCTGAGTGATAGACAGCACTCGAACAACCTCGTCTAAGCGCAACTGACCGGAGTCAAGGCTTCAATTCCCGTTCGGGCTCGGTGGTAACTCCTTTGATAACGGCAAAACAGGAGCCCCAGGTTGCAGATCGGAGATGACTGAATCCGTAGTTATCGTTGGCTGAAACCGACCTTCCAATGCAGGAGACCCGACCCCTGGGTCCGTCCGCTAAAAGAATGCCTGGGTGATCACTGGCCAGCGATGCCTCTGACGCTCCCCACTATCTCTAGGAGGGGCAGGCCGTGCCCCTCCATCGTCATCGTCCCGCTCGTGGTGTGCTGGATGGACCTGCCTCCTCTCTCGTCCGGTCCGCCCTCGGAGCTTGCATCCACCTGGTTATAAAGCCCACCTTCACCCAGACTGATCAATTCTTCATTTTCTTGATCCCCATTTATCACCTTCCTATTGCTCCTCCCATACCCCTCAGAATCACCAATCAATCGCACAATATGTCGAACCTCGAGCACACCAAGTGAGCTATTCCCTCTCTTTAACTGATTTCAATTGAAATCAGGGATCGTGGAACTTACTAACAATAATCCTTCACTCCTTAGGAAGGTCTACACCCTCAACACCGGCGACAAGATCCCCGCCGTTGGTCTCGGTACCTGGCAATCCAAGCCCAACGAGGTCAGAGAGGCCGTCAAGAATGCTCTCCTGAAGGGATACCGTCACATCGACACGTAAGTTAGAAGCAGCCACCAATTGCCGGACAATATAGGAGAACTCAATCTGACAATTCCATAATTAGTGCCCTTGCCTATGGCAACGAAGCCGAGGTTGGACAGGGTATCAGGGACTCTGGTGTCCCTCGCGAGGAGATCTGGGTTACCACCAAGCTTGACAACACCTGGCACCACCGTGTCACCGACGGCATTAACTCCTCCCTCAAGGACCTTGGCCTCGACTATGTCGACCTCTACCTTGTCCACTGGCCCAGCTGCACTGACCCCAACGACCTGAAGAAGCACCTCCCCGACTGGGACTTCATCAAGACTTGGTACAGTTTCTCTTCTTGAAGATAAAGTAGTTAGCGTTGCTAACACCATCTAGGCAAGAGATGCAGAAGCTTCCCGCCACTGGCAAGGTCCGTAACATTGGTGTCTCCAACTTCGGCATCAAGAACCTCGAGAAGCTCCTGAACGACCCCAGCTGCAAGATCGTCCCTGCTGTCAACCAGATCGAATTGCACCCCAACAACCCCTCCCCTAAGCTGGTTGCCTACAACACCTCCAAGGGCATCCACTCTACCGGCTACTCTTGCCTCGGCTCCACCAACTCTCCTCTCTACAAGGATGAGACCCTCCTCAAGCTGGCCGAGAAGAAGGGCAAGACTCCCCAGCAGGTTCTGCTCCTGTGGGGTGTGCAGAAGGGCTGGAGCGTCATCCCCAAGTCGGTTAGCAAGTCTCGCATCGACGCCAACTTCGAGCTTGATGGCTGGGAGTTGACCGCCGAGGAGATTGATCAGCTGGACAACCTCAAGGACCGCTTCAAGGTCTGCGGTGACGACTGGCTCCCCGTCAAGGTTTTCTTCGGTGACGACGAGTAAACTATTATCTACGAGACTATGATGATATCCATGTGAAATAGAGCTATAGAAAGCAAAATAAAATGTACATACGCTTGAACATACTTCTGATGTGAATTTGTGCGCAAACATAGAACGTGTTGTCTTGAAGCACCACTAGACCGCCGACGGCAGGATCCTCATTTCGAGGCAACTCTTCCTGTAGTGTCAAGGCGACCTTCCCTGGAATGTGAAGGTAGAATTATGATCGACCAAGTCTTTGTTCACTTATATGTTATTGACTCCAGAAGCCTGCCACTGGCCGGAAATATGCTGTATCACATATGTGAATGATCAGAAAAATATGCTAAATAAGCATCCAGTAATTGCTAACATAGCATGAGGATACATACTTGGGATGACCCAAAATTACGGGAGCACGTGGCGCCGGATCACATGCCGCACCGCCACCCCGGGCTCCTCCGTCATCAGGCCAGGTCCCTCCGTCATCCCCTTATCTCTCTTCCATCTACCATCATCCTAGGATGGTTACTCCATCTGAGAAATATCTCTAAATCTCTCCATTCGATTGCAGTCAGGATGCCGCCTTCAAATGGGCACCTGCTGCTCCCCAAGTTCTGGAGAGCAGCCAGGTGAGTCATTCGCCACTCGGATATACTTCATTCCGCTAACGGCCTCCAGGTCTGCCTACGAGAAGGCCTACAAGACTATCAAGTCTAGGTTCCCAGAGCAATTCCAACAAAGCTCACTTCGCCTTCAGCCCGAGTATGTGCGTGTAGTCAACAGACACCCTATCAACCGGGCTGCTGCTATCCGTCAAGCTCGTGGTCGCCACTACTACTCCACCCGTGCAGCAAGCTCCTTCGTCTCCTACATTCGCAGTGGCCTACAGGGCGAGCGTACTGCCTACAAGACATCTCGAGTCGCAGCTAATGTCAGTCGCTTGACTAAAAATGCTCCTTTCGCATCAACACTTCGTCCGAATCTGACGGGCGGCACCCTAGGCCGCACGGCGGGTGGTTATGCGATTGGTGCCGGCCGCATCGGTGGGGCTCGATACTTCTCCCATGGCGCAGCTGCCCCTGCCCAGGTCATCAACAATGTATCTGTCGGTGTCCGGGCGTTCTTCCTCTCGGGACAGAAGGCTCGCTTTGATGGAGTCGATCCCATCACTGGCAACAAGCGCTTCAAGACTGTGAGCAAGCTTCAGGATGAGGCCGAGCGCAAGATGGCGGCGATCCCTCGCACGGCACCCGGCTCCTTTGTCGACTTCCAGATTTCCCCAACTATCACTGCTTTCGGTCTGCAGAAGAACCTGGTAGCGACTGGTGCTGGTGACGCCCAGACCATCAACTCGGACGGTCTCTTGGATTTTCCGTCCGCGGACTTTGCCCGTGCCCTCAAGGATCTTGCTGCCGTGCTTAACGACCTGAAGAGGCTATCCACCCTGGGTGACCTGCCCATTTTGCTAC